AAATTAATTACTAGTTGGGAATAATAGTAATATAAATATATATATATTTTTATAAATAATAGTAATATAAAAAAATTAATTACTAGACGGTGAGGTTTCATTTTTTTTAAAATTTTTTATATTTGTCTAGTTGGGAATAATATAAATATATATATATATATATATATATTTTAATAAACAGGTAAAAAAATGTCACAAAAGACAAAAAATAAACAAAAATAAAATCACAAGAAAACCTATATCCAAACAACACCTACAAATTTGGAGGAAAAGTTGATTAAGATTTGCTAAAATAGCAAATGACCATTGGAGCACCATTGCTATAATTTGGCAAAATAACACTATTCATTGCCAAATTATAGCAATGGCAATAGCATATGGTTGGAGATGCTAGTAGGTCTTAGCCCAAACCATCACACGTGGGCGTCGCCACCACCATGCCAGTCGTGGGTCAAGTCGATTCTAACTTTAATTTTTTAGACAAAATTTATTTAAAATTTTTCCAAAAATACTATCGGGAAAATTAATTTTTCTGAATGAAATTAATTCAAATTTTGTGTCAAATTTGAATTTAATTTTCTGTCCAAAATAGTTCCTCCTTCGGTTTAAGTTTCGACACTCCAGCAAGTTCCAAAAGACCAAACGGATTTGGTTTTCCAGGACAGATTCAAACTACCTAGCAGTTGTGAATAGATATGAAATTACTGCAGTTATCTATTCAAAATTTGAATTGCACCTGTTCATTTCAAACTACATCTATTCGGTTTGAAATTCAGACCTGTTTGGGTCTATAAATTCCAGGCCTGTTCTAGCAATTGAATCATCCTAAAAACTATCCAGAAAGATTATTCTCTTTTCGTTTTCGCTCTTTGTATGCATTATTCTTCATACTAGTTTTTAAGGAAAAATTCTGAGAGTATAGAACACAGGTTTTGTTCGCCGTGCAAATTTTTTGGAGTGCTACTACAATTTGTATAAAGATCATTGTATCCTAGGAGATAGACGTCATTCATCCGTAGGCACCGAAGTGGGGCGAATCTGTCTTAAGGACAAAGTGTCACATACTTGACTTGATCTAATTTTGTACTTATTCATTTTGGTAAATAAATTCTGTAAATAATTTATTTTTATTTGTTTGATTTGGTTTCAAGTTATTTATTATACACGGAAGATTGTTCCAACAATCTTAAGACAGATCCGAATTGTTCTGTTTATATATAATTTTTCATTTGTTTCCTCTCTTCTTTTCTTCTTCTTAGAGAAATTATTTTTTGTGATTTTACAAAATAATATTCTGGTTGGAAAAACAAATAGTAGTAATATACTGTTTGAAAAATAGTAGTAATATATTATTTATCTTCTTTGACAACTAGTAGTCATTAACAATTCAGAATATTTATTTGTGAAGTTGGTCAGAAATTAATTTTGGTTTTTAGAAATAATTTCTGAGTTTTCATTAATTAAAATTCTATTTTTAGTATTTCAAATTTTGAAGTGTTACAGAAATATTTTTCTATGTGGAATTAATTAGTTTAATTAAAATTTGATTTTATTTTCAAATTAATTGAAAATAAAAGTTACAATTATTGTTTATTTTATTTTTACAGAATTTAATTTTGTAGTTGTAGAGGGTCAGAAATTAAACCCCAAACTAAGTATGGGCCTAAGCACTGAGGTAGCCCCAAAGAGATGACCGGGAATAAAAAGGAGCATAGGCTAAAGCCCAAGGGAAGTGGGCCAACAGTCGGCTGAAGCAGGTCTGACCCACCAGGGCTTCAAATGGACTCCACGAAGAAAAATGCCCAAGTCAAGTTGCAAAGGCAACACCTACAGCGGTGAAGTTACGGAGGGAACATGTGCAGCGGGGAAGTTACTGAGGCACTTTGCCTCAGCGCTGCCATTCCTAGTATCTTCGGTTCCGTCGCCATT